AGTTAAAACTTAAACCTCTGTCCACAATAACTGGATCTTAGGCTCTGACCCTCCAAGTGAAGTGATGGCTTAGCAAGTCAGTAACAGCAAGGTATATTCTGAGTGATTCAAACTAAACCCACTAACTGGAGAATGAAAGCAACACAGAGTCTACCACGTAAACACGGGAAGTGTTTTCATTAAGGAACCAACAGTTTCAGTAGCTGACAAGCTTCATGCCCCTACAGCGCAAGCTCCCCATTAGATGGCAGTGTGAGCTCAGATTACACCTTCCAAAAAGGATTAGCCATGAAGCCCCAGGTACACGGACCTGACCGACCCAGTGGTCAGATGCAAAACAGGAATGTTCTCAACACAGCAGCATTCACTTTCAAGTACGAGAACGACTGGCAGTGATGACCCGCGAGCCAGCAAAACAACAAAAACCCTTCTGAGAGAAAGTCTAACTACCCGCGCAGAGGAGCCTGGGTACGGCTGCATCACTGTGCTCACACCAAGGGGAACACGCTCTCCTGACCTGCAGGTAGAAAGACAGGAGGAAAGGGGGCTCTTCCAAGTGTGTGTCACACTCAATTCTCATAGCTTTCACTCCAGCACCAGTGTTACTCTGCACCTTAAATATTATGAGCTTGTTTTACGTTGTGTGTTTTTTTTCCTTTTTTGGTCCAGTTTATGGACCTAGGCACTACATCACAGCCCACAAATCTGTTTTCATAACATTTCTGAAAATTTACCCAAGGCTTTTTTCCCTTCCACACTCATACTAAGAATTATTCTGTCACCTTTCCTTGTCCTCTAAATGGAGCAGGAAAACTGGCCGCCTTTTCTTTGTACTGGAAAGCAAACTGATGAGGAGCAAGTCAGACCTGCGTTGTTCATGAAGCCTCTGTGGAAATAAAGATACTAGTGGTGCATCAACTGACTACTCTAGACAGCTCTTCCCAGGTAGTAATTTCACAAAAAGGTTGCAGATCCCATAAAAACAGGAGGGGCAAACCTCCATTTTAAGGCCCTAACTCCCATGTATGTACTGTCTCCAAAAACATTACTTATAGATATTCTCCTAGTAGGCAAAGAGTACTTTTAAGAAATAAAACAGAGTGAAGGCTTTTACTTATTAATATGAACCTGTTTTTACCTTCTTTTTCAGTTAAGTTTGTCTCCATCATAATTTTAAGCAGTGCAAAGAATGCATATTTGTGACAGTATAGTAAATCAGAAATACAGACTTTTTACAAGCAAATCCTAGTCTCAGTTCAAAGTAAAGTTATTTTTTTCTGAGCAATTAGTAACATTTTTATAAGTATCAAGGCACCATGTGTACAGAACATCAGTTAAAACTCTAGGGATATGCAGGACTTCAGCAGCCGAAGGAGGCCCATAAACGCCAGCTGTTAAGCCTGTGGGCTGAAAGACGGCAGCGTGCACGCCGAGCACACCAATAAAACATTTATTAAACTCTGCCTCACACCAAAGAACAACACTGTATTCGGCTACTCGCGCTTGCTACTCATGGTCACATGAAGTGGCCACAACACTGCAAGGCTCCTCCTGGCTCCACCTTGTGCATTTGACTGTGGGCTGAGAATTGCCATCAACACTCAGCATTGTAATTACCAGGAGCTGATTCCTCTTCCAAAGGCGACCTCACTACTTTAGTCTGGTAATTCATCAGGACCATGGTACTTTATAACAAGCAGTCATAATTCTTCAAACCTTCTCAATTAGTATATTTCAACAAGCAAGTAATTAAATCCTGTTATTCCTTCTCTGATGACATTTTTTTAAAAATTTAAAATAGGTCCTCTCCCATCTTTTAATTATAAAAGAAACCCCAAATGACATTAAGAAACAGAAATAAAAGACATAGTAAAAGGAAATGCTCTCAGGGATTCTAACCTCAATGTTAACACCATTCTCTACAGGGACCAAAGCTTTTATCTAAAAGATATTAAGAGAGTCAGGGAAATAAAACCCACACCAATATTTTAACATCTGCTTTTCCTTTCCTAATCTCTTTTTCTAAAATAAGGCTTCTCTATCTGAAGTCAGACTTCAATAAAACAAATGCAGTTTTCCTGACAGTATCTTTAAAAGGTGAAAAGGAACCTGGAAAAGCATTTTTCTGGCCAAATTATATACTCTTCTTCTTGGTTTCTATACCTTTTCCTACCTTCACCTTCCATTTTCTTGCTTCCTAGTATCTCTATCCACTCTTTTTTTTTTTTTTTTAATTGAATGCTATTGTTGTTTTTTAAATTTATTTATTTTATTTTTGGCTGCACTGGGTCTTCATTGCTGCGCACAGGCTTTTCTCTAGTTGCGGCGAGCGGGGGCTACTGTTCATTGCGGTGCGCGTGCTTCTCATCGTGGTGGCTTCTCTTGTTGTGGCTCACAGGCTCTAGCACGCAGGCTCAGTAGTCGTGGCGCACGGGCTTAGTTGCTCTGTGGCATGGGGGATCTTCGCAGACCAGGGCTCGAACCCGTGTCCCCTGCATTGGCAGGCGGATTCTTAACCACTGCGCCACCAGGGAAGCCATCTATCCACTCTTCCTTTTGACCAGAAAACTTGTGAAAGACTTTAAATGGGCAAAAAGATTCCTGGCCATCCTTTCACTGTCTGAAGGGCCTGCCCAGGGTCCCCTGATCTTCCCCCATCCATGCCTTGTCTCTGCTCTGCAGCTCTGTTACAGAAGCAGAAGTGGAGGGTTGATGGTGACCAGGGATGCCTGGCACAGAAATACCTGTCAGGTGAAGATGCAACTGGTTACTGAGGAGAAGTGGCCGGTGTTGCACCTTTCAGCATTCCTCACTGCCCATTATCTCTGTCCTCTGGAATTCCCCCTGAACTGGTTTTAACATTTCACTGGTTTTCCCATTAATTAATGAATTAAATAAAGCTTGGACATGTGCGCATTTTGTATTTGTATGAGAGTCAAGCGTTTACCTTTTCAAAAACTATCCTTTAGTTATTCCATGGCTAAGCAGATTATTTCTGAAACTTTCAAGTAACAACTTGAAAGAAATATTACTGTAAATTTTATCACCATTTAAGCACTTCTTGAATGTACATAATACTATTTTAAGATTTGAATACAATTCATCACCCTGAAATCTTAAGTTGTAAGAAGATTCTTTCCCTGGGGGCACAGCACTGAGTAGCGCACATGTAAGAAGAATCACGGTGACGACGATGAACATCCAACCAGCGCCCACTGCGAGTAAGCGTCCCCACCGCTGAAACGCACACGCCGCGTGACCCAGGCCGCCCTTGGTGACCCAGGTCTGCACCTTGAGGAAGCTGAGCAGACTCCAAGTCACCCTGCAAGTAACGGGAGGGCCAAGAGTTAAACAGAGAGAGGGGCTCAGACCCAACTAGACTGCCTCAGAGAAGAAGAAAAACAACTTCTAAAGAGCCAGGCACTTTTAGTGCTTCTGGCTGGTTACCAACGTTACCTCGGGATTATCCCGAAATGTTTTAAGAAAAAGAGCTGTAAGAGAGAGTTCAAGCCGAACCCCTGTGTGAGTAGCGGCAGTAACAGGAACAATCAAGACAATCAAAAAGTAAGAGGGCATGAAAAGGTAAAGAGATCAAACGAGGGGTGAGTTACATGCTAAACTAAAAATTAAGGAAATCCATTTTATGATAGTAAATAACCAATTTAATCCTAACTTTGATAGTTCCATCTAAGGCTCAGACAAAAGTCACACCATATTCCTATAATCCTGGTACAAAGGTGCAAAACTGTATCTTCCTTACAAAAGAACAATCCAAAGAACCCTTCTGCTCCACACTTCCTTTGTGGTGGGCCTTGGAAAGAAGCCGAATCCAGGCCACTGAAGCAGGCCACTGAGAGGTTTACTCTCAACCACAAAGTCCATTCATGCAGGAAACTATGCTCAAATAAAGACCGAGCAATTACTTTCCTTTCCTGGACCTTCTTGATCCTTAAACTCTTAATTTATCGGGCACTGAAACCCTTAAAACAGCTCCAGAATGACCCACGCTGGCCAAAGAGCTTCCCAGCTGTGACCCAGGACAGTCCCCGCTCACTAAAAGCTGCCAAACCCCAGGCCTTTTTCAACACAAGACAACTTCCCAAGACAAACATGTGCTCCCTCCCTCTCAGCCAGGGCAAACCCCAGCAGGTGAAAAAGAAGCTTACTTTTGATTTACTAATGGTCTTCAAGTGTAGGCTTGAAGGTTAAATATATAAAGATCAGTGGACAACTTTCTCCATTCCTAGAAAAACCTAAAATAAACTATGGCTAAAGCATTAGCAAAACTAATCTGTCGCCTGCAGAAATGCTTATGGAGAAACGCTCAGTAGTAACTTCACCAGCAGAGTCACTAAGGCCGAGAGACAAGTCAGAAACAACTAACGTGTTAGGTGAACTGACTAAGGAAGCTGCAAGGATAAAGGCACTGATTATAAAATCTACAAAAACACTGTACTAGGGAATAAGAACAGGGAATTCTAGATTTGGTCCAAGACATCTTGAAAGATTTATCTGCCACAATTCTGGTAAAGTAAGTCTGAATTAAGTATGAATTACAGGTAGGGGTTATAAACAAAATGACAAGACTACCTCAGTTCTACTTACTGCCAAATATATCCTGAAAAGTCAAGCACATGGAAAATTCTGTTTTAATCTCAAGTACCATCTAAATATTTAAACTTACCAACTCCAGACAACCCGTTAATTCCTCATATCATTAAAAGTATTAGTTATTCAAAATTTCAAGATACTTTTCCTCCTCACAAAATGTAAACTCAAAAACTGAAGAGGTAAGTAGTTTTTGCCAACAGTTCTAACCAACTGGAAGGTTCGCTCTAGCAAAGCTGACCAAGCTCCTAGAGATGATGCCCGACTCCCAACAACAGAGGTGTCTTCAACTGTGCTTCCCTGGATGTTCCTGGAGCCTGACTCTCTTCACTGAGTGCACAGAACTTTTCAGCAGCTAGAAATAAAGACAACGGAGGCAAGGCGGTACTCACTTTTCAATCTCGATGCCGAGTGGATTAGCAGGACGCAGGGACAAGGGAGGAATCCCTTTATTCCTGTCAGTGCGCATGTCATAGTAATTCATCTCATCAACCCACACAGCAGACTGATCCAAAATACCTACCAAATGAGGAGCACAGCCTTAATAAGATACACACTCCCCAGGCACTAAGTCTTACCATACTGCTTTACTGTTGAAAGACCTAATACAGAATGCATGCTACAGTAATTTTTTAAAGATTTGAAGGCACAAAAGCTCCAGGTTTTTTTTTTTTTTTTTTGTAACGGCTGGTAGCTTAATTAAAACCACTAAAAATCTATAGAAAGGCAAAAATATCACCTCTTGATTGCACTGTACATTATTCAATACAGAAGACAAGTTAAGCCTCTGAGAAAAAGTTCTCTAAAACAAATGTATTTTACAAATAATAAGCAGTACAATTAATTTGGTACATCAACAAAACACCCAACAATCCTTATATCAATATAAAGAAATCAAACACCTTCCACGGAATGCATGGCTTGTGTGATGGAAATGACTAGGATATTCAGGAAAAACAAAATATAATCTCTGAAAACAGTACCCTCTTTCCTGTGGCTCGGACTGGGCTGAAACAGAGGCTGGGCAGTGTGCGAGGGAACAGAGTAGAGCACAGGGCCGGGGGACCAGAGGGCTCCTTGTGAGCCTTCTAACTCTATGGGCACCCACAGGTCTACCAGGATGACACAAGGAAGCTCTGTCAGAGGGTAAGCTCAGGCCCAGACACTTCCAGGTTCAGGTCTATAGGCCTTTCCTGAGCCTGTGCTGTGCTAAGTCCTGGGCAGAGCGTTTTAGCATAAAATCAATACTTTCAAATAAGTTTTCTTCACCTGCTGTACAAACATGATACAAGATGATGCTGGATTCTGTCAAAATGTTTTTAAGTTCCTCCAGAAAACTGGAAACAAGTTCCTGCTTTAATTTCACAGTTCGGTTTTCAAAGACATTAAATAAAAGTGAGTAAACAAAAACAAAAATATTGTATGTATATATATGTACGTACGTTTACATACACACACGTACATAAATGTAAACTCCATTTTTGGTTTTCCCTTAAGTTCCTCAAATTTTTATTAAAAAGAATCAAGGAATTTAAAGATATAATGCTGAAGAAAGGCTTTATGCTCTAAGACAGAAAACAAAATTTGCAAAACTCTTTGCTTTTCTATATGAGAGAAGGCCTGGGTTTAATTATGCCTGGATAGTCCTACATTACACAAATATTTATTAAGTACTGACCATGTGCAAGTCATTACAGGACCACAAAGATGAATCTAACAGTATTCTTACTTTAGCAGAGGAGATGCCATATACATAAAGAGCTAGAAGACGAATAATTAAAAACACTAATTTATGGAGCCCTTAGTTTGTGTGAGGACCTATGCTAGCACTTTCTCCAATGTTCTAATTCATTCAATCCTCTGAGGTAGGTGATTCTGTGACTCCACTCTACCCACAGCTGGCTGCTCGTGTGATCAGAGTCCCAGCTTCTCAGACAAAGCTCTGTGCCCCAAGGTGAGGAAGCACGGGTTAAGGGCACAAAGGGAACACAGGAGGGGCTCTAGGGCACAAGAAGAGTGTGATTTCTAGTTTGGAGGCCAGAGGCACACCTAGGTGGGCAACATCTTGTCGGGGCCTCAAAGGACGCAGAAAGTGAAGGAACACGGAACGTTATTTAGGCATTACTGGCTAATTTGGCCAAACCAGGTATGTATTTCACCTCAAATCTTATCTGTATCACAGCAGGAAATGCAATTATTGTATTCAAGATCAAGAAACTAAAATCGGCATTTCGACGTGTTACATGAACAGCTTTTATACAGGACAGAACAGCAGTTCTAATGATTAGTCAGCATCCTTAGGGTTTACCGTCAGCTCAGCTAACTGCCTTTTCGAAAGTAATGCAGACTTTAACCAATATCCCATTCCTGAAAAAATAAACATAAACTGAATCTAAGTTAATGACATATGAGAGTAAGTAAATTTTATACTAATTTACCAGTTGTCAATTTTAAAAGACAAAACCCACTTTTATTTTCTTCTTTAGAGTAAAGTCATGGGAGATGATACCTATTTTCTCAGGTCTGAGCAGCTTGAAGGAGACTGTGGAGGTTCCTTTGCCACCTGACTTGGTTGTGACAATAATGTCTCCTTTGTCGTTCTTGGCCTGTCCCACGCGACACACAATTTTACTCGGAGACATCCACTCTGCTGTCAGAAGGCAATTATGCCCACAAATTGTCAGACCTGAAAGTAAAAGCATGCATGCACATAACAAAGTCCAAAGAACAGCTATTTCATGAAAAGACAATTCTTCTGTCAGTATCGCCAGGCCTTTTTCCTGAATTGAAAAACAGAACTAGAAATAGCATTTCCTGGTTCATCAGTTAGTTATTTCTATTCTTGAATATACCCAATATTATTTGCAAACAAACGACTGTCTCTACTGAATTTGTCTGTTTTTTCTCTAATATTTAATACTTCTTTTAGATTATATTTAAGTGTCTTCAAACATCATTGGAATTAGAAAATAATAACCATAATGTCTAGGCACTCCAGATTACTTAACCATGAGAATCTTAGATTGCTTTCATAGGTATTAGAAAGGAAATTATTGTTATTTTTAGAAGTCCAAGTTCGTGCTATAAAGCTCTAAAGCGTATTAATAAATGTGTACATCATTCCCTAAAAAAAATATTTATCATCTTCCTGAAAATAATCCGCACATACTTTTCCTAGTGTTCAATTATACATGATTCTACAGAATGAACTAAAGTTTGTAGTTTATGTTAAGCACAGCCTGAAGTCTGTTAAATCAGTAAATGTTCTCAGGCATTGCTGGATTACTAGTGCATTTTTCATGTCTCTACATCACTCCTGCAACGGCAGTCCACGCTGCCTAAATGTTTCCCTCATGGTCCTGTCGCTGTACTACACTCTGCTCCCAAAATCTCAGCCCACGCCTGGCATCTCTGCCCAGACCCACGTAAACTGTGATGCAGACAGGGAAGACGTGGCCCCAGGCAGAGGACCACCATCCCACCACGTGCATTTCTGCAAAACAGAGACCAATGTAATAAACATTCATGGAGAAAACAGACCGAAGTGTATTCAGCAAACACCCCAGACACTCGCACTTTCTTTTCTCATCATTTAACTTTTGATACTGCTGGGCAGTCAAGTTTAGCAAATGCAAGCTTTTTGTTTTGTTTTGTTTTTTTAATCAGATACCAGGAACACCTCAACTTATGCCAAATTCGGTTGAAAAAATGTAGGGAGGGATTCAAGTCATCTTTTGTTACAACTGAAAGCACTATTTAGTAAGAATGTTATACTAACCATAAAGGAATAAAAACAACTCCATTTTAAAGATGTTTATTGAAATAATTAATTTCAGAGATTTCCCTAAGACATCTATTACTATTTACTCATGTAAGGAATTCAGTTTTTCTAATGACAGCACTTCAAAGTTCCTTTAGGACTAAGTTTTCCATTGGCTTTTTAAATGTGTAATGACATTTACACATTTTTAAATGCATTCATAATTCAAAATTATTTTTCAAAATGGGAGTGTTTGTTAGTTTTCTTGATACTCAACTTTTATTATGAAAAATTTAAGCCTTTTAAGAGGTTGAAAGCACCCCCTGAAACTCCTCTCCATCTCCAAGGTAAGCCTGTGAAACACTTCAATACATACAGTGCTCAAATAATTTTTATGTACACATAAATCAGTCTATGTATTTTTTTATATAAATGGGAAATGTTTTAATTTATGAACTGTTTAGTTATAGATGGTATATATTTCAATATCACTCCAGGTCAATACATAACTTGATATTTTTAAATTTTACAATATCAGAAAGATTTTTGTGATTTAAATACTAACTTTAGAAAGGAAATAACGCAACCCAATGTCAGGACTTAATGTATTAAAGTTCCTAATATAAGTCCCCTGCTGCGGAGCTATCTTACGATTAAAACTGAGAAATGGGAGATTTCAGATATACAGACATAAAGTCTTAAAAACATGTTCAGATGAGCAAATATGTATGATATCCATGATGATGGAACTTTGGGAAAAAGCACCCGGAATAACAGTTTATTCATCTCATTGTAGCTGCTATCGAGGTTCCTCAGATTTAATATCTGTTCTGCATTTTAACTAAAAAAGTTAATAATCACCATATAATTTAAAACACAGATTTAAACAGATCATTTTAAATGCATGGAAATTAAATAATATCATACGATCTATTTCTTAAACATGTTTTGCCAAGAAATCTGCTTCATGAAATATAACATCTTTTTTTTTTTCAGTAACTTGTAGAATTCCAAATAAAGTGTTTTTGTAGTATTTTACTTGGCTAGTGTAGATGTCACCGGAGTTATAAAAACGCTTAAATTATTTAGTAGGTTAAGTTTGCTTTTTTAAAAAGTGGTTTCTTGGCAATACATGGGCAGGCTGAAAGCTGAACTAGCGGGTTTATAAAAGTCGTGCGCACTCAGTCAAACAGGAATCGCACTGCCTGAAGCTAAAGAGAGATCAGCATCCACACAGATGGGCAGCAGTCACGTGTGAGGGCTCAGTGACTGCCAGTTAAACTGAACCTCCGTCTAGATGGTCTATTTCCATGAATTCTAGGGATTTTTCCACTTTGGATAAAGAACAACCTGGAATGAGCTTTGTCAAGAACCAAGACATAGGGTAAGAAAGACTACCTTCATAAGGATAATAAACTTAAGTTTTATTTACTGAAGAATCAAAAACTGTGGCTAGAGAAAACAGTATAAAATGAGACATAGTTAAGTAACACTAGTGAAAAGAACGAGCTGGGGAGGGCAAGACTCAGTAATTAAACATGGTGCCCAGCTCTAATCAACCTTCTCTTTTCCAAGGGATTTCTGGATGGCCAAAAAACAATGTGTCAACCAGCAGCTATAATGCAAGAAAAACAAGCTCCAACTCATAATCTCTAGTATTTACCAATGGGTCCTTCATGAATTAAGAAATGAGTCAAATGAACGTCTGAATCCAAATAAATTAACGTGTGGGAAATCAGAATACACATCCAGCAGCACATACTGAGTTGCCTCCCCGCTCTCTTATTCGGAATGTATCTGCACACCCTCATGCAGAGTTCACATGAAAATAACCCAAACTGACCACACACTGATATTTATGGTTTGCTCTCTATCCTGGCAGTGCTTTACACTCATCTGTGTTTTAAAAAAAGCAATGATAAGGCTCCATCTTTAGAGACTGAGACTTTGCAGCTAAGGCAAGAGCATTTTTTTAAGTTCTAGAGAAGATGAAGACAAGCCAGGTGAGAACCACTGACAGACCAGAATAATGAAATAACCAGCGGGAAAGGGTCTCCCCCAGAAGAAGGGGGCACACTGCAAACCAAAATCAAAAAAACACTCGCGCAGTGCCAAGTGGATGCAGAGTGTTCTATGCTCGCGTCCTTGGGCTTATAAACAGCATAAACTGATCCTAAAAACTAAAACGTAGCTTGCTCTAAATATGTAAACATTAGGGGAGCCTAATGCAAACCATGGGCGGGCATGAGTTTGCAGAGAGCCTGTGGCTGTTAAGTTTGGAGGCTCAGTGCTCCCACCCCAATGGGCATCGGGTGCAGACAAATGCCCACAGGTCCCAGGGTGCGGCCCGGCAGAGCGCACAGGCTCCTCTGGGTGGAGGGAGTCTAGATTTGGTTCCGAGAGCAGTAAGGAACAGAAGAGGCCAAGCTCACCCGGCACCTGAGAAGAACAGAGAGCTGTATGAGGGGAGGCCAGAAGAGCTGGGCGGCTGTTTTGGCAGTCTTGGCAGGAGAGGCCGACCCCGAGGAAAGGAGGCAAACCTCAGCTGTGGGGGACTTTCTCAATGACCAGGCGAAAGACAATACAGGCAAGATCTGACAAAATAATGATTTTAACAGAAAAATCAGAAAACCAAATAATTCTTTCATTTCTATTCAGATCATCCTGTACAGACCTCAGGGGTGTTTTTCTATCACCTTCACTATTTCAAAATAGTATATCTTGCCTCAGTTGCCCAACATAAAAATGCATTCACCATGAACACACAGCATCGTCCCTGCCCTTACCTATGAGGTCAGCTGGCCCAGTCCCCAGGTTTTCTCCCCTAATCGTGACCTTTGTCCATGGGATTCCTTCATTTGGAGAGATGCCTGTCACAAGGGGGGGTTGTCGTGTTCGAGACATTCTGCTTGTTGAGGAAAGTAGAGGTCAAGCTACGGAAGTAATCTGTAGAAGAGAAAGGAAAAAAGGGTTAATGCCAACTGAGATGAGCAGCAACTAGGAACGCCAGAACTAGACATTCAGTACCAAAACACAGCAGTATTCTGCAAACATACAGTGCCAGGTTTTTTAGCTGTCAGTTAGCCTGTCTGCCAACAATTCCTGCACATGAAGGTGACTAAGGACACTAGCTAGTACTGGGAGGGAGACATCAAGAACATAAACTTCTGATGCAAGGACAGACAGAACCTAAGGTCCCCCTGAGCTCCATGCCACCACCTGCTGCACCCAAAGTATATGCTGGAAGCTCCTGAAGGAGCACATTCTGAACTAATCAGATTCATAAAATTAAAGAACATCTCCATTCTCATAGGTATACTGAATTTCATTTTATTTTTGTGTTAGACTTAGTGTAGCAACTCTTTTAAATGTGCTCAAATCAATACACTGACATCTTCGACACTGAGACAGGAGCAGAGACTTGCTAACTGTCCCAGTGCGGAGCCGGCAGAAGTGCAGCTTCTGAGTTCAGATGCCCTGAGCTCTAGTCCTGGCACTCTAATTCCGCTCCAAACCTCTGTTTTCATATACGGACACTGCGGCCAGTAATAGAACCTTCCATAAGGCTACAACAAAGATCAGGTACATAATCCCAGCAGGGCAGAGCACCTACTGCACAGCAGGCAACCAGGAAATGAGAAAACCTCACTAATAAACCCACAGAACTCCTCAAGTGCTCGAGGCTTCAGATGCTCCAGAAGACAAGGGAAGGGTGGGTTCAGAGAAAAACAGCTGCTGGTTGTCTATCTTTTCACAGAGCGAAGTTAGACAGTGGCCCCTGCCTTCACCCCACCGTTAGCCAGATCAGTTCAATCTCTCACGAAACCAAACAGAAGGGACCAGGACTGAGGGACAGACACCAGGCACAGAGAGGAGGGCGCCAACCCTCTCACCCAACTCCGCTCTGTCTGGGTAACAAGAATCACTCTGGAGAAACTAAGGAGCCCTGGAAAGACAGAACCGAAGACTCTAACATGGAAGGGTCCTCCCAGAAAGGACTACTTGTAGCCACATCAGCCAAGGAAAAGCATATACAGACCAACTCTGCCCATGCATAGACTAAACAAGCAGCTGTCACAGCCTCATCCTAAAAGGCACAAGGACAAAGACTGTAAGGTGGTCAAGGAAAATACGTGAGCGAGAGATGACAGTCAGATTAAAAAAAAAGATCCAGGGCTTCCCTGGTGGCGCAGTGGCTAAGAATCTGCCTGCCAATGCAAGGGACACGGGTTCAAGCCCTGGCCCGGGAAGATCCCACATGCCGTGGAGCAACTAAGCCCGCGCGCCACAACTACTGAGCCTGAGCTCTAGAGCCCGCGAGCCACAGCTACTGAGCCCACGCGCCACAACTACTGAAGCCCGCACGCCTAGAGCCTGTGCTCTGCAACAAGAGAAGCCACGACAATGAGAAGCCCACACACCACAACGAAGAGTAGCCCCCGCTCACAACTAGAGAAAGCCCCACACACAGCAACGAAGACCCAACACAGCCAAAAATAAAATAACAAATAAATTTTAAAAAAAATTTAAAAAAGATCCAGAGGAAACAGAGATAAGGCTATGGGCTACAGTGCTTCCCTGCAAATTACATTGAAGTACTAATCCACGACCTCACAATGTGACTGTATTTAGAGATCGGGACTTTAAAGAGGTGGTTAAGGTAAAATGAGGTCACTAGGATGGGCGCTGATCCCACAGGACCAGTGTCCTTATACGGAGAGGAGATGAGGACACAGACACACACAGAGGGACAACCACGTGAGGACACAGGGAGAAGGTGGCATCTCCAAGCCAAGTAGGGAGGCCTCGGGAGAAACCAGCCCTGCCAACACCTAGATTGGACTTCTAGCCCCCAGATCATGAGAAAACACATGTCTGTTGTTTCAGCCTATGGTACTTTGTTATGGCAGCCCCAGCAAATTAACACAGTGGATAACAGGACACACACACACACACACACACACACACACACACTTCAAAAGTACTGTAAACTTTGATCCCCAAATAAATATCTGCAGAAGGAGAAAACTTTTATGCCTAAAAGAACAGGATGCCGTGAAAAGGAACCAACCCAAGAATAACAGCTCTGGAAACTTTCAAAGGAGGCAAAAGAAGAAAGATTTATATTGTCCTGTTAATGTAAGAACTGACCGTTGGTTTAACAGAAGTGGTAATAAGGCTGCAAATAGGCAGATGTGTATCTGGGAAGAGGGGGAGGGAGTTTTAAATTTTATCCAGAAGTGACTATCCAGATATTGGCAGATTAGCCACAGAATCTGGAAACATGGAAGCGGGTGCTGGCAGAGTGAGCTAAACAAGTCTGGGCTGTGCTGGATAATACAGAGGTGACAGACCTTTGTCCCTGGTTTCTGGGAGAGAGGCTCAAAATCCAAGGAGTGTCTTGGCTCTTCATGAACCCTCAGTACCGCTCGTACGTAGTGCTCATGGCAGCCCAGTACCAGGACTGCCAAACCAGAGACAGCAACCCTGTGATTTGAGGGCTGGGGTTCTGAGCCAGGTGCCATCAGCTTGGCCTCCTCTGAGAAAGGGGAGGGGGCTGGAGACTGAGTTCAATCATGCCTATGTAAACTCCTTTAACGCAATTAAGACAGCAAAACAACAGCAGCAAAAAGCGAAGAACCACAGGAGGTTACCATTCACCTAATAAGCCAAATGAGGCAACCCAAAATTATCTTGAACTCCCCTCCCTCCCCATCACACTCCCTGAATCAAACAGAATCCCCTGGCAGAGTCCAAGGTCCACTGCTTCTCTCCCTGGATACTGAAGCCAGCCAGCTCCTAACTGGTCACTCTGCCCCTGTTATCCCTTCGCTGCAATCCCCCCTCAGCAAACACTGGAGTCAATTCTCCAAACTACAGATCTAATCATCATTCCTGATTCAAAAAAACATCTCCCCCACTGCTCAGTGGTCTCCAGTCCCCATGACATCCTTAGCATCTTATTAAAACCTGTCACCATCAGACTCTTCTACACCCCTAGGTCATCCTCAGTCATTTCCCTCACCCATCTGACACTAACCACACAAGCCCACTCACCTCTTAAGAACCACCAGGTACTTTTTATGCCTTCCTGATTTCATTTACCTTATTTCGACTAAATAGAAAGACTTTCCAAGTTTGTTAAATCCTTACCAATATTTCAAAGTCAAGCTTAAATGTTACCTTCTCTAAAAAGTCTCCCTGATCCCTCCTCCTTCTATAACACTTCTGTTACATAAGTGTTACATCTTAGATACCAAGTCCGTATCTCCTCATTGAAAACACATAATATTCAATCAACTCTACTTTTCTAATACCTGTCATACAGTACCTGACACAAAATAAACATGCCAGATGACTGCTGACAGAAGTTGAATAAATGTTTTCTGAATGTTCATGGTATCAGTGGAATACTGGAATTAAAATAGGATGAAGAGGTACAAGGGGTAGAGAATAGGGATGGGGAGAGGTATTAGGTATACACATGAAAAAACAAAAAAAAGTTTAAAAGATACTTGTATACAATAGCATCAAAAAGAATAAAATAGGAATGAATTTTACAAAAGTGCAAAACTTGTACTTTGAAAATTATTTTAAAATGTTGAAAGAAATTAAAGACCTAAATAAATTGAAAGATGTGGACAGGAAGACTTAATATTGTTAAGATGGCAATACTACCCAGAGTTAGGGTTAGACCATTTTCATGGTCACACACCCAATTCGTTGTAAAACAGACCAGACCCTTGGTCTCCTGACTCACAGGAGTCTGATACCGCTCTTTCCTTTAGAGCATCCTGCATCTTACTAGGTCATCTGTGTATGATAGTCACATTCTAAGAACCTTAGTTGTTTCTTACATGACTGGGGGCACTGGCTCATCCTGCTGCGAAATAGAGTTGAAATTAGAATACCTCTGGTCTCAAAAAAAATAAAAGGGCACGCACGCACACATACACACACACACACACACAATTAGGACAAGACACTTTCAACTTACTCCCAATTTCCCAAATCCATTTTGGAGGTGTTTACAGAGGATCATAAATCTTACCTATGTTATCCTCAAAGTTTGTCCACGTAAAACAAAGTAGTGTCTGGTAATAACAGGTAATGTCTGGGCCACTATGGAGAGTCACGAATCAAAAACTATGATCTATTTTCTTATTTATGATTGAAAAGTACAGCTCTGTTCCAGATATACACATCAAAGGCAGCTGAAAATCCAGTGTTCATTATGTTGGTTCATATACAAAAATTAAATGGCATTTCCTTACCATGAAGCATCACCTACACATCCCCAAGCATGGACAAACCCTTATCTCAGGAAGATCAGTGAGCCATGTAACTTACAAATATAAGAATATGTACTTTTTACACTACAATGTCCACAACACACACAACAGTACCTACCCACAAAATATGCACTCAATAATTATCTGTGGAATGAATTCTGGAAAGAGATGTCTCTTCTCAACCCACCTCTACTTAGAAACATTCTGCATTATAGGTAACGTTCTTACATTTAAAATCACAAATAAATGAAATACATTATCATCACTCTCAGGAAAAAGTCTAAGCCTTAAGAAAAGAGAATTTAGTTTCTGAACATGTTCAGTTTCACAACTCATGCCGAATCAACAAGGATATTTTTAAAGGAAAACTTTCATCTAGAGTTGTCATTAAGTGCCTATACATTTTCCTCACAAGCATTTTCCAAATGCAATAACGCAACAGTCTTTGAAATTCTGTCATAAGATCTTTCTTATATAAATACACTGAACAGAGGTTAACAAAAGTCTGACTTTCCTGTCATAAGCCTCATTTTTTAATTAAAACAATATCCAGCATTTATATTATACAGCCATATAAGATAATGAAAGAGGTAAGGAATAAAAAGTGAAAGAACCTACCCTAAAATTACACACCACAAGCTAATTTTATCTTTT